CAAAATTTAAAACAAAAACAAAACCCTTAAACACAGTTTATTTTGACCCAAAATGGAAGGTTGTTTTGGGCGTCTCACCCTTTTTTCTATGTAAAACAAAACTTTAGCTAAACATCTAAACAAAACACCATGTCAAAATAAAGCAAGAGCAAAGTTTGGACTTTGAAGTGACGAAAACAAGCCATTTTAGTTGTTTCTGCTGAAAGATTTGCTGAATTTGGCCTGAATTCACAAGTCTTTTTGGTATAAAGAACCCAGCCACACACACTTTTTGGTGACTTCACTGTTTGCAAGAAAAACTTCAGCCAACAGCAGTAACTATATCAACACACCTGAGAGCACCCAGCGAACTGGATTCCGAATCCTCCCCTAAACCCCACAGACTAGGCCTGAGAGAGACCAGGTGGGGGAGGGAATCTCTTTTATTGGGCCAAACTTCCGTTGGTGAAATGGACACGATTTCAAGATGCGCAGAGCTCCCCTTCAGAACAGGCCTGTCATCTCTACAGCAGCTATGAGCAGGAATCCCAGGTCTGCACAATCAAACTCCGGGGAAGTTCCCATTTGTACCAAACTTCAGACCTGAGCTGTGGTTGAGATTCTCAAAGAGGCCAAAGGGAGTCTGAATTTCCATGAGCTGAGCTCCTAACTCCCTTAGGCTCCTGCCTAGCTCACCTTTACCTATAAATATAAACTCAGATGTTCTGCATTTAACTAACTCAGTCTGGCGAGGAGTTTTCCTGTTTGACTATTCTGACGCTGACCTCCTATGATCCCTGAATTTCTCTCATTACAGGTAGTTACTTATCTGAAGATGGAAAAATCTACCTAGCAGTAGCAGTGGTTTGTGCAGTGCTGGTTGTATTGGTAATCGCCGTCATCTACCTCATCAGAGTACGACAGCGCAAAGGTAAAAATGAATGATCTTCTGTGGGTGCCTGCCAAGGGGTGCCCTGGCTAGATCACTCTCTTCCCATACACGCAGGCATGCTTTACAAACACACCAGCATCAGGGGGGATGGGATGAACCGAACTGGTTAGCGTTCACCTGGGGAAGGTGGAAGAGAATTTCACTGGCAGCTATAGGGAAAAGTCAGTTATAGCTTAAGGGTAACAGCCACTGGAATAGATTTAAGTTATGCATTATGGAAATCATATGTATGTGTCACACTTTGTATTCTTCTCTTTAAATTGCTCGTTTAGTTCTGTATAGCATCTAGGGACCCTGAAACCCTCTACTAAGATGGAAGCTAGACAGATGTAGGGGCAATGATATAGATTCTAAGGGCAGTTATGGGAATTTAAAAGCTGTAGTTGAGGGAGAATGCCGGCCAGGACACCAGGTTTCTCTCCTAGTGCTCTCAAAAAAATACCCAGGGGATATTTGACTTCCTCCTGGACAGAGGAGGAGTAAAAGGGCCCTTGGTTTAACGTCCTCTCTAGAGGGCACTGCTGTATGGACACCAAGCAAGGAAAGCACTGACTGCATGAAAGGATGGGCTGCAGTGTTTGTCTTGGCAATGGGCTTAGCATGTCCATGGGGTAACCCCATTTTGGATGGAGACACTCTCACTCCCATGCATTAGAACATATGGGTACTACTAAGATTCTAAACTATCCCATAGATTCTAGCACCTATCCCATAGAGCCCAGCGCAGCTGCTAGGAGCAGGTGTTTGGATAACTTCAGCATTGCACTGTGGGAAGGACCAGTGTAGCTGCACCACTTGTTCCACTCCCAGCCTGGAGGGAATACCACTCCTATGAACGTCACTGACTCCCAGCCTGGAGGGAATACCACTCCTATGAACGTCACTGACTCCCAGCCTGGAGGGAATACCACTCCTATGAACGTCACTGGTTCTGCCTGGTCGTGAACTAAAGACCTCATTCCAGGTGCTGCAACCAGCTAGTCCAACAAGGGATTGTACAGGGTCCACCTCAGCCCGTGTGGGGATGCAGGCGTGTTTGTACATTTGTTGTAAGTTCAGGGTGTTTCAGGCACTGGTTTGTTGCAGTATCTTCTTGCCTAATAATGCAGCACCCCATTAATACATCACTGAAACATCAGCACTGGTTGTGATCTCAGGGTTTCTCAGTAGGGTTGTCCCTCTTGTCTGTGGAAGGCTAAATGGGAAAAGTCTCACGGCTACCATCCCCTCCTCTAGTTTCTGCCAATTGCTGGAGGAATCACAGCTCCCAGTACTGTGCCTGGAAGGCACTGGAAGATTCATCCCAAAAATAAGAGGGGAGGGGAGGGGAAGGGAGGTGAATTATCAGGGGATAATCTCATCAAGAGGATCTGATAACATTTTAAACAGCAAGAGCAATAAGACCTTCTCAGAACTCTGATACCGTTACCGGCTTCTGACTCCTTTCCCATCGTTCCTCTAGCATGCTGCCATGCTCAACTTCATAAAACAGCCCCATTCTGAAACCCTCCAGGCTGTGCGTAACATTGTATGTGATGCAATTTGTGTCTTGCAAATACACTCCTAAAATAGGAAAGGTTTAGACTCCACCCACAAAGATTTGTCCTGCAAGGAAAGGAAAGGAGCTTTGCAATACGTTCAGCAGAGTTTGCAGGAAGTTGCTGTTCTTGGGTTTCTGGAAAACCTGATCTAGCAACTTCCACCAAAAAAGTTAGAAAAAAAGGAAATAGTGTGTAAAGGAGCTAAAACAATATAAACTAACATGAAATGCTGTGGGGAGGCGGGATTATTCCAGGCTGTGGGGAGGCGGGATTATTCCAGGCTGTGGGGAGGCGGGATTATTCCAGTAAGGTTTTTTAAGTTGTGTTTCTCTTTTTAACAGGAAAAAGCTCCCCTTCTGTAAGGTAAGCACCGATCTCCACTTTCTTCATTGAACTGTTGGGTAATCAGTGAGGGAATTTAAAGCTACAGGAGCTAATGAAGTCAAAGTGTTGACACCAGGAATGAAATGGGTCAAGTTTTAGCTAGATTCCAAGTTTGTAACTTGAATCCCTATGTCATATGCAGGCGGATGTGGTTTAGGATGGTCTTCACTTCACTTTGAAAGCTCTTCGCCTGTATGTGGCGGTTGATGTGATGCTCAGTCACTAGTGGATGGAAGAGGAGACCCATGCTATGGAGACTTTGGTCTCTAGCTCTAGTGACGTGGCGGGGTCGAATACCCCAGAGCCATTTTAAAGGCAAGAGTAGTTCATGAGCCATGACTCAGCCTGTTACAGCACACGACTGTTCGAGAGTTACCACCCAGAGACGGCTCAGCGACGTCACGCTCTGTACGAACAGTTACGAGCCAGCAAGCAGACGTCGCTGGAGATGGTTCTCCCATAGCACTGCTGAAGGGAGGTTCCTGGCCGAGCGTACACTCTCACATTCATTAACTGAGCTGCAGACCAGCCACTTGTTCTTTATTGCCCATGTCCCACACAGACAGCCTGGGGGAATCCAAATCTTCATCCTCTGGCCAGCTGGCTGTTTACGTCTGTGTGTGGTGTGAGGATAAACTCCGCTGAGTGCGGTTAGTTCTCCGTTATCACACACTGGTATCCAATGGTTCTCCCCTGTCCTGCCATCAACCGTCAGTCAGTCCTCCACCATCCTAACCTGAAAAATCCTCTGCAACACTTAGTCACCCAGCAGTGCTACTGTTTTAAAATACAATGAGTGTTTGACTCTGTTCTGTTGCTTTTTCTATAGGCTACACGAGCCCGAGAAGAGCCCCAGCACAGCTCCCCAGGTGCGTAACAACTAGTTTCTTTTGGGGAACCGGAGAGGGGGGAGCGACAGAGGATACCATGAAAATACCAAGCGTCAGGCTAAAATCACGGCCGTTTATTAAGTGCTCAGAATCTCAGCTATGCGAGCCTGCTTCTGTGGCTGGGGTGAAGGGAGAGACAGACAGTTCGCTCCCTCTCTAAATTGCATAGGGAAGCTGCCTCCATTGCACCGAATTTCTCTTCTCCTCATCCCCACCCCAAAGAACACGTCTGGATCTATTGTGACTAGAGCCAGCTGTACAATAAGCCAGGGAAGTTATTTCTAGAGTTATTTTGCATTCTGTGATGCGGCTCTGAGTAATTTACCGATCAGAACGGAGCTCTGTCCCCCCTGCCCCAGCTCGCCCACATGCTCACGCTCACGTAGGCACACAGCTGGCCGAACACTGGTAAGACCTCATCCATTCAGGACATAGCAACCCAGACCATGCTCTCACTTCCACCGCTGCAAGTCTAGAGTAATTCTGTGGACTCCAGCGGAGCAGCTCCGGATCTGCAGGGGTGCAATGGATTGCCGACTCTGGCTCGGTATGGCCAGCTGGTTCTGCCCTCTAAGCATCGTTCACCAGCAGACTTAAGGGACAATTCTTGCCGCGGATGGTAATAGTGCAGCTCAGTTGCCTGGAGAAGCCTGAAGGCAGCAAGCGAGTGTCTCGGTTAGTCTCGGGCCCTGTGGACTAGCGGGCTTTTCCGCCCCTCTTGAAACACTATCACGTGTCCCCAGGAGCCTGAATGACAGTTCTAGAGCCGAGTTATCCAGCAACAGGTCCGGCTTGCCTTGCCGCTGGCTAGATTGACCCCACACTGTCCCACCAGCATGCCTTAACCCTGCCCAGGATGTTGGATCAGTCTCAGAGCCATTTCCGTCTTTGTTCCCTGCTGAACAAGCCAGCCCGTTGGCAGCTGATGCCCATAGTTGAGGGGTTGGTTTTGGAAGGGGGACAGACACCTGTCTCAGGATCCGGCACCACTAGTTCATCCACACACACCCCAGGACCCAGGCAGGGGGACTTTAGGTTCGAGCACATCATATTTGTGCGCCCTAGCAAGGTCCATCCAAGGACCTCAGAGCACTTTAGTCGTTAATGAAGTAGTTGTATTCCCAGTTCACTGAGGGGGAAACTGAGGCACTGGGCGACTCAGTGACTTGCCCAGGATCAGTCAGCAGCAGAGCTGGGAGTAGAATCTAGCTCTTGCCGCAATCTCCTGCGATAGCCACCAGACCGGGCTCTTAACTCGGGATGAACGGCTTCATATCCCATCTGTAGGTGACACAGCTCCCTG